CTGGTTAAGGTTGAGTACCTCAGCCAATGGAAAGGCTTGATAAATGAGTCTTAGGAGAGCATGCTGAATGTCAACCAATCAAATGTACCCCGATACTCTTTCCCAACTCTACAAAATTCTGCAAAATTGTGTATAAAAGATGCACGCTTATGTTCCTTCTTTGGAACACCATTGTCATGGATTGAATTATGTCCCCCCAAAAATGTGTGTATCAATTTGGCTGCGCCATGACTCCTGGCATTGTGTGATTTTCCTATCTGTTTTAATCCTGCAGTGTTTCCTTCTGTTATACATAGGGTCGCTATGAGTCAGAACCAACTTGATGGCACCTAACATAACAATAACTATTGTTATAAAATAATTCATTAAACAATTAAGGTCTTTTCATTCAAAGGATAATATGGTGCTGGTACTTAATATCAACCTCATTCAAGTTTAATGTTTTAAAATAAAAACCCAAGGATCAGGCTGGTGAAATCATTTGGCCAAGCTCACCAGTTGTGGTCAGGGCGAAATCAAACTTGTCAAACCCCAAAGCCACTGCTTTCTTTTTTCTAACATGAAATAAAAAAGAGAAAAATTGCATTGGTAAAGCAAGCTTTCCTTCTTATAATTGTGACTGAATTATCAAACAACATAAACAACAACAAAAAATTCATCCAATTCCAGTGCATCGCGACCCTACAGGACAGACTGGTGGTGCAATGGTGAAGAGCTACGACGCAGCTGCTAACTAAAAAGTCGGCAACGCGAATCCATCATCTGCTCCTTGGAAACCCTGGGGGGCAGTTCTACTCTGTTCTATAGGGTCGTTATAGGGTCACTATGAGTCGGAATTGACTCACCTGCCACTAGTTTTAGGACAGCGTAGAAGCTACCCCGTAGCGTTTCCAAGGCTGTGGTCTTCACAGAAGCAGATTGCCATCTCTCTCTCCCGCAGAGCAACTGGTGGGTTTGAACCACTGACCTTTCCGTTAGTAGCTGGGTGCTTTAATGATCGTGCCACCAGGGTTCCAAACAACATAGTCTAATTGCCTTAAAATCTCTTCTTTATGAGAACTGAGCCATTTCTAGGTCTTTTCTTGTTTCTTATCTGTTACTTTGGGTTTCTAGCTAGTCCAGTACTGTCCAACACATAAAGTACCGACACAGAAGTGTGGTACTTTATGGCAACATCAATTGCCATCAAGTCGATTCTGACGCATAGTGACCCCCTATAGAACAGAGTAGAACTGTCCCATAGAGTAGAACTGTCCCATAGAGTTTCCAAGGAGCAGCTGGTGGATTCGAACTGCCGACCCTTTGGTTAGCAGCCAAGCCCTTAACCACTGTGCCACCAGAGCTCCAAAGTACAGCAACATAGCAAGGGAAAATGTTAAAAGCAGGAGCTTCTCATCAAGAAAGAAAACGTTTACCTTTAACAGAATGTTGAGTGACATGAATTTCTCCCAAGTCAGTCAGAAATCTTCCAGTGTCTGCTTGTGACCCTCTCACAGATACAAATCAGGAAGCGCCATCCTCACAATCGTTTGTTAAATGTATCAGCAAAATTTTGTAATGATTATGTTAAAATTCTGAGTAAAATCTTGTTTTTAAAACTAATAAACCAATGTAAAAGCTGGCCCAGTTTAAAGAATAAATGCCCAAATTTAGTAAAAAAAATGTAGAAAAGGTGTTTTAGGATAGAGAATATAAAACAATGTCAAGTTTGTATTATTTATGTAACAAATCCTTATCTCGTGGTTGGCGTGCCTGGGTGGTGCAGTGAATGTGCTCAGCTGCTAACCAAAAAGTGTCTCGGAAGAAAGGCTCAGTGATTTATTTCTGAAAAATCCACCATTGGAAACCTTATGGAACATAGTTCTGCTCTGACACGCATGGGGTCGCCACGAGTTGGAATCCACCCAACGGCGTTTATCTTGTTTGTTTGTTTTTATCTAGCGCTTGAGCACACCCCAGGCACTGTTCCAAGCGCTCTGTCTCCTGACTGTGCCCTCAATGATGAAACTGATAATACCAAAGCAAAGACCGAACCCACTGCTGTCGAGTGGATTCCGACTCATAGTGACCCTACAAGACAGGGTAGAACTGCCCCAATAGAGTTTCCAAGGCTGTAAATCCTTACAGAAGCAGACTGCCACACCTCTCCCTCGCAGAGTGGCTAGTGAATTCGAACCACCCACCTTTCGGTTAGCAGCCGAGTTCTTTAACCACTGCGCCACCAAAGCGCCTAAGAACATGGAATGCTTCACGAATTAAACTGATAATATGAACTTTTATTTTTATTGAGTAGTTAAAAAGATAATAAGATCTTGATCATAAGAACTTTGACAACTAGGTTGATATTAGCAATTAGCAGATATAATTCCCCGAATTTATACCAAATATCTCACGAGGGAGTCTCCCAGCAGCACAAGAACTTTGTATCTCTTCCTCTTTGAGCCCCTCACTGATGTCCGAAGGCTGGCTAAACCCACCCACAGATTGGGCGGCCTGCCGCGGAGGGTTCCCAGCCACAGTGCCGAGGAAAAATGCTTAGGAAACTGGCTCAAAAACTCTACTTAGGATGCTTCTTTTCCAGTGCTTCCCGTTAATCTCCCACACCCGGAGGCGGTAGAGTTTAGGGATTAGGCATTCAGTCTTTGGCGTCAGCGCGCTTGGCTTCAAAGTATGCTTCTACCTCTTGGTGTGTGACTCGGGCAAGTTGTGCCTCAGTGTCCTTGTCTGTAAAATGGGAATAATAGTAACAGCGCCTGCCTTATCGGGTGGTTGTGAGAATGAGACGGGTCCATACACGTAAATCTCCTGGAACTGGGTCTGACATGTAGTGAGCTCTATGCAAAGGCTCTTGTAGGTTTGGTTGGGGGCCGCTGAGTCGATTCTGACTCATAGCAGCCTCATGTGTCAGAGTAGAACTGTCTCATAGGCTTTTCTTGGCTGGAATCTTTATGGAAGCAGGTCACCAGGCCTTTCTCTCCAGGAGCCACTGGGTGGATTCGAACCACCAACGTTTGTGTTAGCAACAAAGTACTTAACCGTTTCGCCACCAGGGCTCCTTGAATAAACCCAAACCCAACCATTGCCGTGGAGTTGATTCCGACTTACAGCAACCCTATAGGACAGAGTACAACTGCCCCATAGGGTTTCCAAGGTGTAATGTTTACAGGCGCAGACTGCCACATCTTTTTCTGGCGGAGTGGCTGGTGGGTTCGAACTGCTGGCGTTTCAGTTAGCAGCCGAAAACTTAGCTACTTTGCTACTAGGGCTCCTTTAATAGCTATTATAATATTATTATTGTGCTGATCTGAAGGTAGTCCTTGATTTCTTCTGGAATGTGATGACCTTTAAAAGCAAGCTGCATTTACTCATAACAGAGTCATGTTTTACATTTAGCTGGAGTTGAGGCTTATGGTTTTCTCTATCACTCCCTTTCAAGTATTCATGGCCTTCCTCTATTTCTCTGAATTCCTTAGGAAAAGTTCCTTTTTTCCTCCAAATTGAAAGCTCAATGGGGATTTAAACCTGAGGAATTGGAATCCGTGTTTGGATGAGACTGTGTCGAATTTTGGACCATAAACAGCATTTTCTACCCCTTATGAAGTCCTGCTTGCTTCTCATTGCTTGTTCCTCCTCTTGGCTTTTGAATATCTCCCACCAAAGCTGCCCAAACTGGCTAAGTCTTCCCAACTAGCGTCCACCAGGCTAGATGTCAAGGACTGCCTGAAAGGGCAACCTCAAGGCCCGTGGTTTCAGGACCATTTTGTTTAGAAACAAAAATGTAACAATATTAGGGCGATAACAAAAAATATTTTTCCGTTCTGGAAGTGATGCTAAGCTAGGGGGGGGAGACTGTTTGGTGATTCCTCTAACAAGGTAATTTGATGTTATAATCATGTTTAAATATTTATGTATCAAGGTTCACAATTCTAGTTACATGACTCACCAGTACTTTCGAATAAGTCATATATTTTGACTAGAAATAAAAATTAAGAGTGGGAGAACAAGAGGGATGACAAGTTGCGGGGGTGTCTTTGAGTGTCTCCCCTTTAAAATCAAGGAGGGTGTCCATGTGAGCAGTCTACAAGCAGGGACCTAGAGGGGCTGGAAGCTACTCCTAACCCATCACCGACTTGGAGTTCATTCTCTTCTGTTCCTTAGCTTGGGTAAGCATCAGCTGTCTAAGTCTGTGATAGAAACTTTCCCATAGATGTAATAAGAAAAGCATTGACAATTCACATTTAGAGGAAATGAGCTTTCCTGAAATATATTAAGGATTGTTGGGTTTATTCTTGCATTTTTATATTTCTATCTTGGTTCCGTCCCTACCCTGACTCTTTAAGGAAAAAATAAGATATGGTTAAATTGTTCTTTAGCGGAAAGAATAAAGAAAAGTATTTAATTATTTTTCAGAGATCTTCAGCTATTCTTAGAAAGCCTTCGTGACTCCTGGGGACAGACTGGGGTGGTGTCAGATGACATTCTAGGGTGATTAGGTGAACAATGCTTTGCTCCCTACAGTCCTTCATTCTACAGTGGCTTTGTGATGACCTAGTTGTATGTGTGCCTGTGTGTGTGTGTGTATCCTGTGCGCATGTACACAGTTGCTAGACTGTGGGGATGTTTATGATTTTATATTAGCAATTACAATACTGTATTTCCTGGGGCTTGTTGAATTTTATGGTTTTAATTTTTTTCAAAAATATCAGCTCATTTCCTTTCCTCTTAATTTAGCTTCTTCCGGTACATTCTTAGGAGATTGTGAAATGTAATTGTGAAATTGCATGACCATTTCGAGATCTTCACGGCCCGAATATTCAGTAGTGATCCATGTCATGATACATGCCTGAAATCCAGTATTTGTACTTAGCAGATACTTGTCGACTGATGAATTCTCCTGGGAGGTGTTGAACAAGTAAAAATCATGGCTCATAAATGTTTTGCAAGGTTTAATTTTTCAGTAGTTTACACTACTGCCTATTCTTTCCTGCTGTGAATCTTAGGGAGCTCCACTCACCTCCTGGATGAGATCTGCAGCATCAGGCCTCCCTGATTCCTCTGGAGTTATCGCCAGCACGTACTCTTGGGTGATAAACTGACAATGGGACTTTGGGTCTTGGCAATTCTAACACTTCTCCAAGATTCAATAACAGCTCATCTTAGTAAGTACTACTTTTCAACTGAAATTTACATTTTTTTATGAAGTCATTCCAAGAATGCATGACTTGTTTTAAGCTGCTTGCTTCCAACTCTTCCAGCTGAATTTGCAAACCAGAAAATTCAGTTTTGATTAAGTCATTCTTCATAGCAAATATATCAGAATTTTAATTTTACATATTCAAATATCTTAGAATTTAACACAATGCCTGTGTGTAGGAGGGTTGCTGGCGTTTGCTGACTGGCACATAATTTGTTTAGATAGATGTGGCTGCTTTGCCATTGAAGCTGTGTAGGGGACTTAGGTCCAAATTTATTCATTAATTGTGGTGGTACCTAATAGAACATTTCATAAAAGATATAATTTATTTATTCTTTCCCAGTTGAAGTATCACAAAGTGTGACCGATTTCTAAACTGAATTCTATAAGGAAACATTTCGAAGATAAGAATTACGGTCTTTTTATATTTTTTTATTTGCAGGTAAGACACACTGGGGCCTGGAAAATGAAGCGTTAATTGTGCCATGTCCTAAAAACCCAAACTCTGAGCACCCTGTGGATTGGTACTCAAAAACAAATAGAAGTATTACCACCCAGAAGAAATACCGTGTGTTTGCCTCAAAAAACTTTCTTAAGTTTCTGCCAACGAAAGTTGATGATTCTGGAATTTATACTTGCATTATCAGAAGGTATTATACAGGCAGCCACCATAATCTTAGGGCTTGCTCCCTTATCTTTAATAGTTGATAATCTGTACTGCCCCTCACTTTCCTTCTTTTTCCGGTCCTTTCTGGAACAGTTGAATTTATAAGGTGATTTGAATAAAAGAGTATGTTTAGAAATCCCATCAGGTTGGGGTTTAGGTGATTATCACCGTGGTTAAGAGCTCAGCTACTAACCAAAAGGTTGGCAGTTCAAATCCACCAGCCACTCCTTGGAAACCCTGTGGGGCAGTTCTGCTCTGTTCTATAGGGTCGCTGTGAGTCGGAATTGATTCAATGGCAACGGGTTTGGTTTTGGTTAGTGGCGCAGTGGTTAAGAGCTTGGCCGCTAACCAAAAGGTCAGTAGTTCGAATCCACCAGCCGCTCCTTGGAAACCTTACCGGGCAGTTCTGCTCTGTCCTATAGGGTCGCTATGAGTTGGAATGGACTTGATGGCAATGGTTTTTTTTTTTTTTAATATTTATATTTATAATTGCAGGGCTTAATTTGTAGCCTAATTAGAAAAAAAGACCTAGCTTTCTCAGCAACTAAGAGAATTGAGGGCAGTCACTCATTTTTGGCCAGAAGTAAGAACAAGCCAGCACAGAAAATAGTAATCTAGATGTTTGGCATCAAGGAGGCTTATGGTGGGTTAAAAAAAAAGGCAGTTATCAGTGCCTGAAACGTTTCTCAGAGTGAAACGAAAGAGGGTTACATGAGACTGTGGGCCTGCGAATTACTCTCTGTGTAAATCGTTGAACGTTTTGATGTGGTGCCCACACTAAGTGTGTTGATTTTGTGCCCATATTTGATGCATTCAAAATGTCAGGTGAACTACATCAAAACGCAGTACTGTAGTTAAACGTCTAGGTTCTGAGGTCAGACAAGTTTAGATTTCAAATTCATGCTCTGAGGGTTAGCTGTGAGACGCTCGCAAGTTAACCCTTTACCCCTCAGTTTCCTCATCTATAAAATAAATATAATGTATCTCAAAGGGTTATTGTGAGAAAAAAATGAGGTAATGTCTGACAAGTACTTAGCCCCATGGCTGGTACATAGTAAAACTCTCAATAAATGTTGATTATTATATTGTGTTTTCGGTATTACAGTGTGGAGAAATGATTGGAGAATCACTTTCAGGCTACTTTGGGGTTTATGTTTTATCTCAAAAGTAACAAAAAAAGTATTTGAAATTCAAGATTTTAATGCTTACTTTTAAATAAGAAAATGGCCCCTATATATCACTGCTTTAAGATGAAAAGCAAAATTAAATGAAGGCTAGAGTTGATTACGTTGTTTCATAAGTGTTAAGTGACTTTTAAAAGTTGTCTCACTTGTTTTAATAGCCCCACTTCCAATTGGACTAGATCTGTGAATCTCACGATATATAAAAAACAACCAGATTGCATTATTCCTGATTATTTGATGTATTCAACAGTAACTGGAACACCAAAACGTTCTCAAATATTTTGTCCTACAACTCAGTATTACAATTGGACAGCACCACTTGAGTGGTTTAAGGTAAAAAGAACTTTTGGAGAAATAAATAGAAATAACACAATTAAGCTTGTAAGTAAAGAATTACTGAAATGAAATGGACTTTTTCATTTCAGAATTGTAAGCCTCTTCAAGGACTAAGGTACTACAGATCAGAGTCCTATTTGCTCATTGACAACGCAAATAGCAACGATGCAGGTGATTATACGTGCAAATGGGTACACAATGAGAAAGGAGTCAGTTATACTGTGACAGCAACCAGAACACTTAGGTTTGGAGGTAAGCTACTGAATTTAACGAAATAGAGTATTTGAGCAAAGACAAAGTGGGAAGAATTGTGCCCTTCTGGACTTTTCGGCACTTCATACTTCTCCCGCTCTATCTTACCTTGCACATTCTCTACTCTGAAGCAAGTAGTTTTTTAAAACGCACTATCAAGGTTTAATACAAGAGGGAGATTATGCTGCTAATCCAAAGCCACAGCTGCTTTTTCCTCTACGACTTCATTTTTCAGAGGTAAGGAGATTTCCATGCTAACTCAATTTACTTATTTTGAAAGGCAGTAGAACAATTTGGAGAGCAAGAATAGCTTCCCTTTCCATGCTATAGTGTGAGAGGTTCTGTACATAGAAAAAAAAGAGTTTCTAATACACCTGGATTAGAGGTTTAGTGAGAAGTTTTACATGGGATCCAACAGTGTGCAGGGCTTCCAACATCTAGCAGGTCATTCAATTCTTAAGACAACAACACAATTCGGTTTACTTTCGACTCTATAAAAACCCCTGTCGGAGACAGATTTCACAGTCACAATGTGTTGTTGGGTCTCCTTAGTCTGTCGTGTATAGACACAGATATAGACCAGTGGCACCTATACGTGTGGCAGCTTTTAGACGATACAGCAATACTGTAGAAAAGCTTTTCAGGGCTCCACCCCTGTAAATTAACCACCACCAAACCACGTTTGTGTTAGTGTCTCCCCTACTGTTTAATGTCAGCCCCGCAGTGGCCCTCAAACACTCCACCCGGAAATAAATGAGCATCAAGGGATGCAGGTATGTACGCAGCCATGCTCCGAAAGGTCCCGCTTCACTCTGGAACTCAGTGGCCACAGGCGTTACAATTAGCTAAGGCGAGGAGACACTGTCTAACCCTGAGGCTGGGCCACCACGGTGAAGAACCATGAGCAACAGAACTGTGGACTCGTGACTTCGTCATTTTCATGAGCCTTTTGAAGTCTTCTCGATAGTGTTATGCTTATTCTGAATTGCGTTTTTCTAACAATCAGTTGGTCATGAAATTAATTTGGTGGATTGGATCAGTATTTGTTTTAATGACATAGAATAAAATGAAAAATATCAAACAGCATCGTAGGTAGCAAGAGAAAGTATTATGTAAATATTGTGCATGAGTGTGTGTGTGAGTCTGTGTGTGTGTGTGTGTATTTATTGCCATGGGTCATTATCAGAAAAATCTGAGAACTATTTATAGGAAATAGGATAGAGCTTTACACTGATGACTGTCCAATGCTCTCCTAATATTTATAATAATTTCCTTTTTGTTTGTTTAAGAGGGAAAAGCCTTTCCTGTGGTTCCAGTCATTACAGCCCCTCCACCCAATGACACAAAGGAAGTAGAAATTGGTAAGAAAACTTTAAGAATGAGTAAAAGTTGCCTGAAAAATCCTTCCATAGGACCCCTGATCTGAAGTCCACTGGACCAAAAAAAAAAAAAAGCCCACTGCCGTCGAGTCGATTCCGACTCATAGCGACCCTATAGGACAGGGTAGAACTACCCCATAGAGTTTGCAAGGCTGTAATCTTTATGGAAGCAGACGGCCACATCTTTCTCCCGCAGAGCAGCGGGTGGGTTTGAACTGCCGACCTTTGGGTTAGCCGCTGAGAGCTTAACCACTGCCCCACCAGGGCTTCTTAAATTGCACTAGAAGGGGGCCGGGATTATCACAGTGGACCTTCAGGATTAAGTGAGATGGCACGTGTGACAATGCCCGACCCGGGCACTTGTTGATATGAACGGTGATCAAGCACAGGAATAGGAAGTGTTTACATCTGTGTTGCACTCAGTAACTTATGGTGCTTTCACATGTGTTACGTCATTTAGCTCTTACTTCTCTGCATGAGGAAACTGAGGCTCAGAGAGGCACAGTGACGCTCAAGGTCATAGATTATAAAAGAGAGAAGGACGAGAGCCCAGACTTTCTAACTCGTTCCATCTCTGTCTTTACTACTTTCCCACTACAAACAGGGTGCAGTTGAAAGTTTTTAGCATGTAAAACAGCGCCCTTCATGACCTGGTCCTGACCGCCCTGACTGCCCATCTGCAGCCAGTGCCCCGGCACTGACCACCTCGTCATTAGGCTGACATGCTGTACTTCCTAAATTCTTCGCTGCTTTGGGCCATGTTTGTCTTCCTTCTCCTCCTCCAAGACTAATTTCAAATATCACGTCCTCTGTAAAATCCCCCTGTACCACCCTCCCTCCCTACCAAACAACAGAAACAGAGCTTCTGCTCACACAGCCCTAAGGGCCCCATTTGTACGCACAATGTGGCAACAGTGCTTTCTGCAGGGATCTTTTTCTCTGCAATTAGGAACAGAGCTTCTGCTCACACAACTCTAGGGGCCCCATTTGTATGTACAATGTGGCAACATTGTTGCCTGCAGGGATCTTTCCCTCTGCACTCCCAAGTCAGAGTACCGACCAACCCAGCCAGCTGCCATCAAGCCAATTCTGACTCGCAATGACACCGTGGGTGTCAGAGTAGAACTGTGCTCCACAGGGTTTTCAATAGCTGATTTTTCAGAAGTAGATCACCAGGCCTTTCTTCCAAGGTGCCTCTGGGTGAACTCAAACTGCCAATCTTTTGGTTAGCAGTCCAGTGTGTTAAACTTTTGCCCACCCAGGGACTCCCAGAGTACATATACCTTGTCTATATACTTCTATTAGAACACTAAAAGGCTTTGTGTTATCATTGCTTGGTTATAATGCCGTTACCCCCAATAGACTCCGAACGCCTCATTCCTCTTCAGATGCCTAGCTCTTAACACAGCTCCTGAGAGGAACCAAGAACTCAGCAACGGTTGGTTGAATGGATGTCCAAGGCATGAAGGCAGCTCTTATGCTTTCAAGTCTGAAATGAGGACGTCTCAAGTTAGAAGAGTTGGGATGGAGAGAGCTTTGTCTAGATGCTTAAGTACTAGGATTGTATCTGGGTCAGGCTTTGTGAGCCACTTCCAAATTCTCCTTAAGTCACAAGTACAGTTTTACCTTCAAACGTAGCTTATGGAGAGTTGAAAAGAATTCAGTAGGAGGAGAAAGGTGTGGAAGACAGCTGTTAGAAAACATTCAATGTATAGGGAAGGGCAATTCTATATTATAAAGTTGGGTTGTTGAAGCCAGTCACCTGTCTTGTTAGTTTCTCCCGCAGGTGGGTGGGGAAGGAGAGCTGAGCTTCAAGCTTCCCTGTGAGTGGAATGAAGATAATAAGGAGCCAGGGAGGCAGAGTGAGGTCGTCGAAAGATGAAGCTCCTAGCGGTGATGAAGGATATGGGAAATCAGTCTGAGCACACACTAGGTGTTCAACAATTTTTTTTCATATTAAGTTAAATTAAATACTATTTGCATAATTTAATTTTATCAGTGAATTTCTTTACTTCCCATCTAGGAAAAACAGTGAACATCACCTGCTTGGCTTGCATGGGAAAGGGTCTTCAGATCCTGGCTTCGATCAAATGGCAAGTTAATGGAAGCAGCATTAGTGACCTTGGTGAGGCAAGAATTCACCAGGAGCAAGTGCAAAGTCAAAGGTAGTTTTATCTGAAAGTTACAACATTCTCTTCCCCTCCCTCACTCACAACTGTTAACCAAAAGTAAGCATTAAAAGTAACGAGTGCTTTCTTAGTTCTAGAGATGAGCTGACTTGTCTAAAAAGAATTTTAAGAATAACTGATGTGAAAGAAGAGGATTTCTCGCTGAAGTATGAGTGTCTGGCCCTTAACTTGCGTGGCGTGACAACACGCGCTGTCAGACTAAGGAGAAAAAATCCAAGTAAGGACTGTTTTAAGCCTTTTGCCACCTGAGTTTGCTGTGCCAACTGCAGGCTGAAATTGTTTTCTTAGAGAAAACCGTGCTAGAGTCTGGATCCAGGGGAACTACCAAGGCAGTGGAAAATGGCTCATCTCATAAAATGTACCTCCCCTCCTAAGCACACTGACCTGCAATGCAGTCTGCGTCCTCACGTGTTTTGCGAGTGAAAAACATGGTTTGTGGGACACTCTTCTCCACCGCTTTATTGCTTCCTCCTCTTCCGCTGCCTCCTGCTGGCTGCTCTCCAACACCCAACTTCCTCCTCCGTCATCGTTCTGCTTTTCAACTTCATTCGCTTTCTGTCTCATTGTATGTGGAAGAAAACATACCAACAATAAAGCGTGAACGTGCTCTTTCGTTCTTAACCCCTTTTATAACTTGTGTGTGTGCGCGTGTGTGTGATAATGGGCACATATTTCGTTAGTGAGGCTGGCAAAATGGATGCAAAGGTGAAGTATTTAACTACTGCCCATTCTAGGAAAAAAAATCTTAGATGTTACTTTATAATAAGAAATGCATTATTATCGCTTAACTTTATAAAATTATAAGTTTAGGTAGAACTCACGTGAACTCTGGTAGCGCAACCCATTTCTTTACTGCGTCTGTTTCTCAACATGTAAATCAGGTACCACCTCTTCTGGGGAGCCTTTCTTGACTGCCGGTTTGGGAACAATCTCCTTCTAGGTATTCCTATAGCATCCTGTTTTTACAATTGCATTCATCACACTGTTTGACAGTCTGCTCCACATGACTGTAAGCTCCATGAGGGCAAGGGTGGTATCTTACCCATCTTCTTATCCTTGGTCTGTGGTGCAGCGCCTGGCATATGGCATAAGCTCAATAAATATATGTTGAGTGAATAAGTGAATGAATTCACACCAAAGTTATAATAACACGTTATTTCTGTACATTTCTATTTCTCTCACTGTAAGGCTTAATTATAACAACAAAACAATATTTTATATTTATGTTTGGTAAGTTGAATAACTTTTCCCATAAATTGGAAAGGCCAAACTGTTCATAACTTCCCCGTAGTTTTGTCTGAATCTAGTAAGCCGTTAATGAATTTATTATAAATTGACACAGTAAAATATTATAGTTATGCCAAAAATATTAAACTCATGGCCCTTCAATGGATTACACTACATTTTAAAATGCAACATTTTAATTCAAAAATAATCGTGGCCTACTGTTGTGAAATGAGTTCCTTTATGTGGCCTTTTGCCTTGGTTCCTTTTCAAAAAACAGCTTGAGAGGTTTTCCCGCTAAGCCCTGAGGGGTTACTTTTGCCCTAGTTTTCTATCCTAAAGAGTTTGCTACTTCTGTCCAGGTTGATTGACATTTCCTGGGTAAGCTGTAAACAACCTGTGTGGTTTGATACTTTTGCCTGGTAGTAGGCTACAGCCTGCCCTGTGATTGGTGTTCACCTTGCAGGGTTTGGTCAATAGACTATTCAAATGAAGTGTCTGTGGCCTACCAAGAGGGGATTGGTCAGTTTGTGGCCCTAGTGGAGGACCATGGCTTGAAACTGACAAGGAGTTTGTATGTATATGCAGCCAACCCCACAGAGGTTTTTCACATAGGAAGTAGGAAGAAGCAGAAAGGAGAAGAGGAAGGAGAGAAGAGAGATGACGCAGAGAGAGGAGGCAAGGAAGCGACTAAAAGAACTGTAATACGAGTCAAGGATTGTAACACTGAAGATGGTGAGGGGCCCAGAAGGGGCCCTGTGGCAGAGCTAATGGCAGGGAGGCTGAAGGCAGAGGCCTTGCCTGAGGGGACCGAGAGGAGCCTGTTTTCAGGGGGCTAAGAGGAGGCCTGCACGGCTGAGGGGAGCTGAGAGAGCTGTCGTGCCCTGAAGAAGGGAGGCTTTGTCTGCGGGTTCCCTGATCCTGATCCTGAGTGGTAGCCTGTTACTTCCTTAATAAACCACTTCACTGTAAGTATGGTCTGTGAGTTCTGTGTGGCCTTTGCAAAGGATTATCGAACCCAGCAGAGAAGTAGAGAGTACCACGGGAGGGACCACTGGTGTCAAAATTGGTAAAAAGTTTGGAGAATGGAGGTATGTCTGACCTCCACTTCACTGGGCTCAGCCTTGGGATGATCTTGATTCACATTATCCTCCTTGAAGTTAGACAGGTTCTGACACCACTTCCACCACCCCCACTTCACACCCACCGTGGCAGAGGGGTGCGAGTGGTCTGTCTCGGATGCAGGCAACAAGGGGTACATTGTCCACAGAGAATTTTAAAACAGTAGTGAAGCTGTCTAAGAGTCCTTGTGCTTTTTATTCTCGCCATACCCAGACAATGTTAAGAGATGCCAGTGATGAAGTTCTCCTCCCCACAAGTGCAGACGGCCTCCTTCCCCGGCTCCCTGGGTATGCCCCGGCAAGCAGTACTACCACAGAAAGTAACTTCACAAGCATTTCGTTCCTGAGAACTTGTACCTGTCCTCACTTGCACTTTGTATCTCCATGCAAGGCATCCTGTTTGCTAGATGAAGCACTGTATCCCGTATAAAGGAGCCGAGAACGCGTGGTACTATGACCTTTTTACATGCATCACCCCTTTTAGTGGTCTTACAACTATGCAGAACTTCGCGTAGCTGTCAAATAGCCAAACGGAGGGCTAAGCTCTCCGTTCATACCCACAGGTGGGGTATGACCTAGATTAATTTGAATAACCACAGAGGCATGACATGATGCAAAATGATTCCGGTGAGGAGACACCAGACCACTCTCTCTGCCTGAGGGGGTGCTTGGGATTTTTCTTGTTCTAATTTCTAACTCCTGACTTGTAAGTTTTATAAATCAGAATATGACTCTATAATAGTGGCTAGAAAGAATCATGACCCATGTAGATAATTTTAAGTACCATTGCGCCATCAGGACACTTCCAGTTAGAATTCTGTTACCCCGGGGCGTATGGGGCATGTCAAGATGTTACATTAGGGCAATGTTTGTGGTGGTGGTGGGCACATTGGGTCCTGGAGGAAAGAGGGAGCCCACACTCCCCACCCAGCACTGCTCTTGCTGCCCTTATCCCCACGCTTTGCTTATGTTGTTGTTTGCTGAATGCTCTCTGGTTATACCCGTGCATTGGAATTGTTTTCGTGTTACACGTACTTGTTGATTTTGTTCTTTATACTTTACTTGTATTTGCTGCCTTTCACCTGTTTTTCTTCAACCTATTTTTGTTTCAACAACTGTGTAAATTAAAGAAAAAATGTTGTGACTGCTGTTGAATGGTCCTAATGAAATCCTTTATTTCTAATCATAGAATTAAAAAAAATTACAGCATTGTCTTGAGTTTAAGAGATCACATAAAAGCCTGTGTCCCCACAGTTTAATTAAATGTTATTAAATAAATATTTGATGGTTATAATAATAATAACCCATTGCTGTCGAGTCAGTTCCAGCTCAGAACAACCCTATACATTTATTCATTATGGTTTATGTACCAGGCACGGTTTAGCTCCTTTACATTTAGTTTCTCATTTATTTTCTCACAACCCAATAGAAGAGGGACAGTTCTTATCATCCTAATTTTATAGGCAAGGAGAGGTTGAATAGCTTACCGAGTGCCTTTGTTATAGAGGAGTGGAGTCAGGTTTCCAACACAGTCAGTGTTTTCCTGTCAAGAGACACTAACAGAAAATATTTAGTATAGTCATCGCATCAAGAATTACCTATATGTTGATAAAATCACTAGCCATTAGGAAGATATTAAACTTCAACTTACTTTAATGCCTTAGACTAACTTCTTTCCTACAGTTGAAAGCAGCCAGCCACAGGCATAGCTACCTTACAACAATTCCCACAGGAAGTATAGACTCCCAGCATATATTCAGAGAAGATATTTAGAAAGAGTGACCTGGAGAGGAATCTTGTGGAAATGATTCACCTGGGGACTATCTAGAATTCAAACGGAAGACACTACAGACAATAAGCTCTCTTTAAATTTTCAGTTTTCCCCCCCCCAGCTTTGAGTCACCTTACCTTGATAATTCTTGATTTCATAGCGCTGGATGCTCAGGTAGCTGACGAGATCTTAGGGGAGGAGGACTTTGTGAATATGAACCCGTGATTTCCCGCATCAAGACTGGGAACCTACGCTACAAGACTTAAGATGAATGTAACAATGGAACCATACAATCAAATCCCATTTGAGATTCTTCTCACTTTCATCTTTAAGTGGGACTCTTTCTAAGATAAGATAATTAAGTATTATACAAGGAAAAGTACATTTAAACAGCCAAAAATATTGTTAATGATTGCAGTATTTACATTCGACACGTATGTATTTGCCACAAGCCCTCGAAGATGGGGACCATGCTGTGTATGTATTTTGTGAAGCAATGAGTACAGGCTAAAGTTCAGTGGTGGCTAAATCATGTTCACCGTAAGAGAATTGAGAGGTGTGTCTAGCATCCAGAACCCAGTAATTGGACTTCTCCATGAAATATGCTTTAGAGATTTACATGGATCTTTTTTCTTCCCTGCTTTCCTATGCCACCAACCACTTAGACACAGTAAGTCCCCAAGATCTGTTGATTCTTTCCCCCATACAAGTGTCCCCCATCCAAGACCAGTCCATTCCTTTCCTATTATCAACAAGTCCCAACTCTCCTGATCTTGCACCGGAAGGAGTGTAGAAACTCCTGTCCCGTTCTATGTCAACTGCTGGCCGTCTCTTTCCACAGGAACACACCTTCCATTACCATTAGATTAATTTGCTTGAAAAATAGTTTCATTGTTTATATCCTACTCGAAACTCTTCAGTGGCCCCACAAAATGCTTTAGGTTGGCCCTCAAGTCTTGTTAGAACCTAGTCCTAACTCATCTTTCTAATCTTATTTACCACTAATTCCCGAACTAAAATACTTCAGAAAATACACCTCCCACCTCTGCACGTTCCTCTCAGCAATCTCTCTTGTCAGGAGTTCATCTCCTTATGTCTTTCCAGTTATCTGAGTCTTACCCATCCTTCAAGAACCTCCTCTTGCAGGAAGCCTTCCTTGCCCAACCCAGCGTGGAGTGAGGTTGTCTTCTAAAAGCCTCTGCCAGCTATGACCGCTAAGACTTCCCATCTTAGTTCAGTTTTCATGAGTGTTTATGTCTCACTTGAGCAGGAACTGTCTCTTGTACCTTTTAGGATCTCCTACAATTCCCAGCCTGGTGCCACGTACAGAGTTGCTGCTAAGTGTTGTAGAGTCGATTCTGACTCATAGTGACCCTACAGGACAGAGTAGAACTGTCCCATAGTGTTTTCTAGGCTGTAATCTTTACTACAGCAGATCACCAGGTCTTTCTCCAGTGGAACTGCTGGCTGAGTTCAAACTGCCAACCTTTCAGTTAGCTGAGCGCTTAACTATTGCTCCACCAGGGCTCCTTTTGTACAGAGTAGGGGCTCAATAAATGTTAATTTACTGATACTTTGAGAGACAGAGTAGCAGGGATGCGGGGTCTGGGGACCATGCTTTCAGGGGACATCTATGTCAATTGGCATAACAAACCTTATTAAGAAAATGTTCTGCATCCTATTTTGATGAGTGGCGTCTGGGGTCTTAAAAGCATGCAAGCGGCCATCTAAGATGCATCAATTGGTCCCAACCACT